GTGCATAATGGCACAGAGGCATGTGTGCAGGAGTGGCCACCACAGCCCTGGAGTCCAGCCATGACTTGGTGGGTATCTGGGGCACAGAGAAGCAACAAAGGGCAAGCCCAGGCATCCCCTTTCTCTCTAGAGTGGATTCTGTACTCTTCGAAGCAACTCTGACTCAAACAAACAAGGAAAGAATGCATCAGATTCAGCATTTATCTGAGAAAAATGAACAAGTAATCTCATCTGCAGACACCAAACTGAAAGAAGACATAGCCCAAAACAAACAAGGAAAAGACTGCTAGAAGAAATTGGTTCAGGGAGTGCCATGTTCCAAGACAATCCATTTGGGAGTCTTGAGGGAGCCAGGGGTCAAGCCACCTGAGTGGGGATGTTACTCTTCCTAACCAAAGCTGTCCCCAGGCTAAAGCTGCAAGGAGACTACTGACTCCCTAGGAAAGGTGCAAACGTCCCCTCACCTCAGCAACACTCTCCACCTCACTGTCATCCCTGGAAACAGGTAGGCAAACAAGAAACCTCAGGAACAAGGATGGACATTAAACCAAAACATACCAGCCATTTGCAGAAAACCAATACCATGGGCTGGGGGCACCAAATGATAAAAGAATAGCCACAGAAACATAATACAATAAACAAAAAACTTTTAAATAAATCTAATTAAAATCCCCAAATAGGAAAAATTCTGTCAAAAAGAATTAACACATGAAAGGACCTGCTTGAAAGATTACCCCTCAACTGGCATCTGGGTACTTGGATTTTGGGAGGGCCCCCATCATGTGATAAGCGAAGCTCATTGTGCCTAAAGCGTGTACAATGTGCTTTATGCTGAACACCTTCCTGCCTTCTGGCGTCTGAAATTTGGTATGTGCTTGGCAGGGGGTGCCTATGTGACCAACCTCCAATAAAAATCCTGATAGATACTTCACATGTTGTCACAACTCATCACAAGAGGAATTGAGTCCTGTGCGACTCCACTGGGAGAGGACTCTGGAAGCTTGTGCCTTGTGTCTGCCAGACTTCACCGCTTCATGTGACTTTCCCTTTGCTTACTTTGCTATGTCCTTCTGTTGTAATAAATGAGAGCCATAAGCACAGCTATATGCTGAGCCTTATCAGTCCTAGTGAATCATCAAAGCAGGTGTGTGTGGAGGAGGGGCTGGGGACCTCAACACAATGACACATTCTCACATCATCAGAGTTCTTTAAGAGTATAATGTGATAATTGAAAAACACTCAATAAATAGCAGCATGCACAGCTGCTGGAAGCAAACAGCCTGGAAGTGTGAGCCGAGGTGTCCTCCCAGCACCCATAGCACAGGAAGGGGAAGGTGGAGAGCCCAGGAGAAACTGAGAGACTTGGTCCTAGTTTGTGCAGAGAAGGGCCTGGCCTCTGATGTTCTTAAATGAATAAAGTAAAACACAGAGGACTACAAGAACAACTGGTTCCGCTATTACCAAAATAGTGAAAGCAAATGTGTGAAACAGGAATGTCTGGGCCTCTTTATTGACACAATAAACAGCAAGATCTAGAAGCAGGTTTGAAAACAGTTGTAACTTCAAAGCAGTGATGAGAATAAACTATTTTGAGAAGTGTGATTTGAACATTCTGTGGATTTCTGTAGTTGCAAGTCACAAGTGTCACTCATATGACTGTAGTTCACTGCCTACATTTAGAGAAGGAAATGCTAGATGTCAATTAGAAGTTAGTGAAAATGTAATTTATTTCCTCCTGAATCCTGTCACAGATCTCTGATTAAGAGACCCTGAGAGTCTAAGAGAGAAAAGGGAAGAAATGAATGAAGCGGGCAGAATTTTCCAAAGCTAGCACGAGTCTTCTGAGCAAAGTGGCACTCAGTATGAAATAATGAAACCAATGCGCACTCTGGAACCCTGGTGCTGAGCGGCCAGATGCACACTCCCCCAGGGGCTCACCGCAGCAGGCCTTCAGTGTGCTCCACACCTCTTCCTTCTCCTTCTATATGCTTATGTAAAACTATGACAAAGAACACACATCAGAATAGGGGGAAAATATATAGCTTTATTTTTAACATTGTAATTAAATTCCACCACAGAATAAGGATACCATGGGAGTCAGATTTTTCTTTCTCCATTTAATAAATACAAATGAATAAAATACTATGTTTTGCAGGGAGACTGCTGCTCTCCTGTCCCAATTTCCTGGAAGCCTGGTAGACACCCTGTGGATGGCCACCGCAGTACGGCTCCCACTTCCACACCTGGTATACCAGCACAAGCACTGCTGCATGCTTTACAAAAAGACTACATTTTGTCACACATTTCTGCAAACACTATTTAGGTACAATACCTTTCTCCTTTCCCCACCCTTACTAAATATTGTACTCAACTTCTAGTTTTAAACGATTGCCTTCTAAGAAGGAAACAATCTGGTTTCCACAGAAGCCCAATATGGGGCCCCTTCAGCCAGTGACTGTTATCACCATGAAACTGTGTGTGTGGTCTCTGTAAAACAGACCACTGCCCCTGGGTACAACCATGGGAGGGAAGGAAAAGGATAATGTAAAGTGAAACCTACTGTGTGTCTCATAGACTACCCCTTATTTCAAAAATAGAAATTCCTATTGCATGTAGACTGTGCAGCAGGCCAAGCAAATGGTCCTGCAGGCAACAGACCGTTATTGCTTAGTATAGTCCTGGGCACTGCATACACCCGGAGCTTAGAGTGCCAGGCCCTGTCCACATCAGGAATTACAACCAGGGTGTTAGTCCCCTGGGCTGGGATGACCCCAGGGTTGCTTTCCACAACTGTGGTCATGGTAAGGCCCACTGCTGTACTCCACACTGATGGCAGAGTTCCCTGCAACAAAGGGAGAATGACTTTGCCCTGATCATTATAGTTCAGGGTGCAACCCCACTGTGCAAAACCTTACAACTGCCCAGTGTTTAGACTGGAAAAGAAAAGCTCCTATTGACTCAGAAGAAATATTCACTAAAACTCTGTGCCTCACCTGTGGCTGCTCCAGTAATTCCCTAGTAGCTGAGACGTAAGTACATTTTTCATAAACAAGGACAGGAAAGAACTGCCAGTCCTTATGACCAGCAGTAAACTTCTCCTCTATGTACACCACTTTTCATTAACCCACATTTTTCAAAAAGTGTTTATTTCCTGAAAGCATTTCTAAGTGTGATGGTTTGTAATATACAACAAATGAAAATGATTTACAAAGATTATAAGAAAAACACCTGCTTGTGAAATATGAAGCAATGAAAGTCATGCTCAGTGCTGCTCCATGTGTGTGGACACTGAGATCAAGGCTTCAGCTGGCCCCTGTCCTGCCCTCTGCTCTGTTCCTGCTCAGGACCCTGCCCTCCTCTAACGTGTCGCAGCACCTGCTTTTTCAAACTTACATGGCAATGATAAAACAAGTATCTAAAGATGAACAAGGACAAAAGAAAATATTTGTTCCTTAACTATGTCTGGCCATGTTGGTTTTGAGAGTTTGCCTGATCAGCTGGTCAGTAGATCCATTCAGCAAGGCTTATATTTTAATATTCTGTGTGTAGGGGACACAGGAATTGGAAAATCAATGCTAATTAGCACACTGTTTAATACTAATTTCGAAGACTATAAATCCTCACATTTTTCACTCACATGTTAAACTTGAGAGTCAGACATATGAACTCCAAGAAAACATTCCATTGAAGTGAGCTATTATCAACCAATAGTCAACTACATAGATGCTCAGTTTGAGACCTATCTTCAAGAAGAAGTGAAGATTAAACAGTGTGTCTTTAACTCGCATTCCCGCATTCATGTGTGCCTTTATTCATTTCACTCAGTGGCCACTCTCTAAAGAAACTCAATCTCTTAACCATGAAGAACCTTGACAGTAAGGTGCACATTATACCACTAGCTGCCAAAGCAGATTCACTTAGATCAAGCTCATGAGTTGAATTGGTTAGCAATAGCATCCAGATATACCAGTTCCCAACAGATGATAAAACTATTGCTGAAATCAACTCTTCAATGAATGTAATCTCCTGCTGACTGTGAATTCTGTTTTGCACGTGAAAATAAAAAGGCTATTTGCACATTTACCATTTGCTGTTGTAGGAAGTATGGATGAGGTAAAAGTTGGAAATAAGACAGTCAAAGCTCATCAGTGTCCTTGGGGTGTTGTAGAAGTGAAAAAGGAAAACCACTGTGACATTGTAAAGCTCCGGAAAATGCTCATTTGTACAAATATGGAAGATCTGTGAGAAGAAACTCATACTTGACACTATGACCTTTACAGGTATTACAAGCTAGAGGAACTGGGCTTTAAAGACGTGGGCCCAGAAAACAAGCCAGTCAAGTCAGTGGAGATTTCTCTTGGACAAGCTGTTGCTGAGAAGCAGCCAGCAAAGTGAAAGGAAGAATCTTGCCTTTTATGTTATCAGGATGATGGAGAATGAGTTTATTAGATATTTCTTAAAGTCATAGAGTCACTTGATGAGGAAAAAAAAAAGTGACACTCTATGTTCCTCATGGGGCACATATGAAGCAGGCGTGACCTGCCCAGAGCTCTTTGGAAGCTCTTCAGAAGGAGCATTACAGATTCTAATCCACTGAGAGTTTGGCATGTATGAGCCCTCAACACTGTGCGAGGGAAGGGGCTCTATAAGCCTCGCCATGTTTGAGAGGGTCATAAGCTGCAGGGATAGGCAGCGCATCAGTTGGGAGAGGTAGTGCTGACAGCTTTGACAATCAGCCTACACCACCTTTGAGAGGAATACTTTACAATGTAGCAAGCTGTCATTATTCTACATAAATCACAATCTCAGAAGAGAAGCCTGCCTGGGGTGGGAGAGGTGGGAAATAAGACAGATGCTGTGGTTCTGAAAGTTTCCCATTTTTGGTGCTAGCACAGTGTTACTGTCAGGGATGTCTTAGAGGAGAAACACGGAGCCAGCTGGTGGTGGTGTATGCACGCACATGGGGCACCCCAGCTGTGTGCATGTGTGTCCTGTAGAACTCAGAGCCCCAGAGACTTCTGTACGATCTGCTTGGCAATCTTATAAAACTGCTCTCGGTCGTCCCGCCACATTTTGGAAGCATCCACATTGGCACCACTCTCGTCATTGGGCTCTGAAAGAAAAGGGAAGCATCTCTATGATAAAGGAAGTTTCAAAAACAAGCAGCTTGCCAAGATTTTCCATTCCATCTAAACACATGCACAGATCTTTTAAGAGATGTGTCTCAGGAATAAATACACAAGAAACAATGGTGTTTGTATTAGTGGGGCAGGGGGAGTGCTCTGTAGGTTCAGTGCACCAGGTAGATCTCCAAACACAAAGATCCACTCTCAGGATTCCTACCTCTGAGCATCTAAAAATGCCAACACAACTTATCTTCATCCTACTGTGGAAATGCTAAGACAACCTAAGTGACAGTGCATGGAGCTCACTACCATGACCTGCCTGATACAGGGCATTTCTAACACCCAGAGAACAAGCCACACATGGTCCACCTGCTCATCTAACACAGAAGGGATTCTCTCTATGAAAGTGAGTACTCTCTGTTCCCTCCAGTCCCCACTGGAAAGACAATGCTGGGTGGACATATGGTTCCACTGTGGATATTTGGCTCAGGGTAGACACTTGGCAAGCAGCCAGCTAATCCCCAAACTAGACAGCTGGGTCCAGTAGTCAAGGCCTGCCAGGAAGGGAGATAGGACTGAGGGACACAAGAAACCAAAAATACTAAGCTCTGAGGCAAAAGTTACAAATAACTGGCAGCCATGAAGAGGGGTGGTGACACCAGTCAGAATAAAGTAAAGGGACTGGATTAGCACAGAGTAAAAGCCAAGAAGCCAAGAGAACAGCAGCAGGCCAACCAGAGAGCAAGAAAAGTGACACCACCACTGTGGTCCTCGTGGCCAGCAAGTTCCCATCACGGTGGGTGGGCTCTGCACAATCCAGACACCCTTTCCTAGGCTGCTAGAGTTAAGTCTCTGCTCCTCCAACCACCAAGCCGTCCCATAAAATTATTATCCCACCTTGCTGCCCATGCCTCCTGGCCATTTATCCAATACTTATCCAGCATTTCTATGCACAAGGTACAGGGCACACACTGGAGAACAAGAGCTACGGACCTGCCTTCAGAATCATATGGGAAGCAGACAGGCATTTAAAAAATTGACACTAACACGTCATCATGAATTGTGCAAAGTGCTGTGGAGGGAAGGAACAGGCAACAAGAGGCAGAGCAAGTAGGATCAAAGTACGCTTCTCTGTAGATGTGGTACCGTCGGATGCAGCATTGGGCATGGGGAACACAAGCACGTGAGTGGGGCTACTGCTACTTCCCTATAGGATGTCTGACCACAGTGATGTTGCCAGACGTCTCACAGTGACCAATGAGACACAGATTCCTGGAGCAGAGTGGGATGTAAGCTGGACTGGGCAGGGGAGGCAGCCTGGGTAGGAGGGCAATGGATAGTGCAAGCCAAAGGCAAGTCTGGAGACCACATGTGTGGCCAAGGTGGTATGACGAGGAAGGACAGCAGTTAGAACTGGAAATGTGGCCTAGAGTAAAAAGGACATATACTCTGACAAGTGTGTGTAAAAAATTCATTAAATTTAAAAAATAAAAAAATCCAAAAATGTTTATAATGGTATAATTAGTAGCTGAAACTTGAAAACTTCAATCATTACCCTTCTCTCAGATCTTCCATTTCCCTCTCCTTGGATTCCTTCCTACTCAACATGTAGAGAGTTTGAAGCATCTACCATCTGGAAACTCAACCATCCCCTGATTTCACACACCTCAACTCCACTGCATGAGAGCCACATGGTCTTGCTAAAACAGCAGTGAGCAGCTTCCTGACCTCTCTGTGGCCTGCATGCTCTCCTCTGACACTCCTCCCATCATTTAGGCAGTACTTCTGCTCTTCCTCACTTTCCAGATCAATCCTCCCTCCATTCCTTTGTGAGTTCTCCTTCTTCCACATACCGTTCCCTGAATTAGCACCCTTTGCTCCTCACTATCAGCCTGACCTGGAGATGATGTCCAGATCTTTACTTCTGGCCAGGCCATCAGCCTAGCTACACACTTTATAGCAACAGGCTCCTGGACCATGGGGGACATGGACCCTTGTACTCAACACATTCCAAACTCATCTCCCCAAATCCTTCTCTCTCTGCAGGCTCTCATGTCAGAGATGTACCAACTGGCTTCTAAGGTCTCCCAAATCTAACCCCTAGGCTTCAGGACCACTCTGCCCTGGCCCAAGCCCTCAGTTCTTCATTTTTGGCAGCTGCAATGTCAGCTGGCCAGCAGGCCATGGAGCCCCTCCAGTCACACTACACTACCATCCTGCTGGGAGGATGATGCTCTTAGGCACAACTCAAGTGATGCAATGTCCTCACTCCAACTCTCTAGGGACTTCCCAGAGTTGACAGACTCAGCTCAGCTTTCTGCACACTACCACAGCACCCCGTCCCCACTCTAGCAGTCCTCCCATAAACAGCTTGAGCTCCAGCCTTCGTGAGCTCCTGGAAGTGCCCTGCCCCAGCCACACTGCCTCAGGCCACAGCACAGGCTCTCCTCTTTGTGGCAGATGCCTTTCCTTCCCCCTGCACCTTGTGAATGCCAAGGTGCAGACTTCTAGACTTTTCCAGATGCTCCCTCCAGGGGTGAGCTAAGACCTTACCATTCCTCAAGGTCCCGTGACAAGAGTGTATCCTAATCTCAGGATTTCTCACACTGGCCTGACATGCTGACTGAGTTGGTAATTCCTCTCAGGTGTGGATACTTTAATGCTGGGGGTCTGTCGCAATGAACTTTATATTTCCAGGACACAGGGCCCCCCTAAATGTCTACTGAATAAGTGAAATGTGCAACAATTAGGGGATAGTTCATTGTAGTCAACAATATAATATACATTTATAATTTTGAAAAATATGCTTATATTTGGGAAAATGTATGAAAGTGTTATTATGTGAAAAAGCAGAAAATAAAGTAGTATATATAAAATAAATCATAGTGATGAGGGATTAAAGAGGAAAGAGGAAGGCCAGCACACTGTCTCTGTTTTGTTACCGCCCCATCCCCTATGCAACATGAAAGCATAACGGCAAAGGCCAGAGAGTGCTGGCTCGAGCCGCCAGGCACCATACCTGCCAGCATGCTCACCACCGACAGCAGGATCTTCTCCACACTTTGCACAGGGCTCCACCTCTCAGCGCTGCTCTCATAGCCCATGGGATCGTCTCCTGGGGCATGCAGGATGGAGATACAAACCCTCCCATCAGGGTAGACTGAAGGATCAGAATAGTACAGGTGAGCCAAGACACACCAGGGAGCTGACACCACGCAGAGCAGCTCTGCACACAGAGCCCAGGCTGTTTGCACAGCTGTGCTGGGGGCAGCAAGCACCATGCTTCCCCTTCATACAACCCAGAGGGCCACACCTTAGACCTGGGGCCTATGCAGGCCTCCAGGGTATTGCTATCACTCAAAGTCCACCCACTTCTAATCAACTACAGTACAAGTCAACTCTCATGTGAATTTTAAAATACTACATCCAAATACCAAAAAAAAAAGGTGGCATAGTGCCTAAGGCATCTGACTGCTAACCAGAGGATTGGCAGTTCAAACCCACCAACCACTCCACAGAAGGAAGACTGGGCATCTACTTCCGTAAAGATGTACCACCTCAGAAACCCAAGGGGGGAGGTTTGCTATGAGCTGGAATCAACTTGACAGCAATGAGTTGTGGTTTTTTTAAAAAATATCCAAATAGGGTAAATGAAAATTATCTTGGCACTCAGATACTGCATCAAAATATTTAATGTAATTAGGATCATTTGTAACTTTCAAAGCTAATTTCTTACATGTCCCTAATTATACCATGAAATACACAAACTGGACTGCTTACATGTCTAGGACACAACTGGGAATTATTGTAACTATCCAGAAAAAGAAGGGACCAAGATTTCCCTTGGTAACTTATTCTAACAGAAAAATTATCACCCACACTATCTAGAGGTGAACTGTGTCTAAATCTAATCCCTCTCATCAGACAGTATCATTAACAAGACATTCTGATGGTTTAGGATATATTTAGACATCCAGGGAAATCCATTGGGATACACTCAATTGTAAAATTACAAAGCCATTCAAGTTATAATAACAGAAACAACAGATAATTTAAAATATGTTTAATTCACCTTCATTTATGAGCTCAGAATTTCATGACAACTTAGAAATGCTGATCATCATCATTTACCTACCAATAGCTTTCCCTTTCACACCCAGCCTCTTATTCCGTTTATCCTCTGTCCCCATGGTGACTGCCTTCTGGCTGACCAGCTGTCCACAAATCCTCTTCTGAGGAAGAAGTTCAAGACACTGCATACACAGTGATAATGGACATCAGGGTGTCAGTCTCCAGTCCATGTGGAATCTGCATGTCTAGAACACTGATCCACCATCTTCCCAAGGAAGAAAAGTGGGGTCAAGTTTCATTGTAAGTGTCCCTTCTTCGGAGTGGAGGCACTAGGCAGTGACACTAAAGGCAGACGTGGCCATTTTCACACCTCTTTCACCTAGAATGCCCAGTACCCTCTGGCCTTGCCATCAGTTCCCCAAGTCCCTCAGCTCCCTGAAGGCTGGGGCAACAGTGACTCAGTTCTGTACTGCCAAAGTCAGTCCTGCTTCTAAAAGACACCCTGACCCCTCCCCTCTCACCCACCACACATCCCATCACCGAGGCCCGTCCATCTCAATACATGAACTTCTCTTCATCGTCAACACTGGCACAGTTTAGGATCTCAGCATCTCCAGCCTCCTGCAATCAGCCCTACATGTGACAACCAGAGTGACCCTGGCAAAGACCAATCTGATCTCTCAGAACTCCCTCAATGGCTTTCCACTGTTGCCAGGATAAAGATCAAATCCTAAATACTGCCCAAAAGGACCCCAACTGATCTGGTCCCTGCCTCCCTTTTCCCTCACTTCTTACACAGGGCCTTTGCACATGCTAGACACCCTCCAACACATACATACATATGCATGCACACACGCACGCACACACACACATCACTCAGGTGACTCAGACTTCTCCTCCAGCAGATGGTCAGGTAAGACATCAGCTCTGAAGGGTGCCACCCCTGACCTTCCCTCTTTCCTTCTAAGCAGTCATCAATAGCTGTGATTTTATACTTACTTCTGTGATTCCTTTACCGATGTCAACTAAAGTGTCTGAAGGTCAAGTCTCCCTTTTTAATATTTGCTCACTGTTTACTCACCCAGCAACTTTCAACAAATATGGTGAAATCTTTCTTTAAAATGTTTGCTCACTGATAAATTTATTAATTTACAGACTTATAAAGTACTTTTGCTCAAAAACAAAAGTTTTACAAAATATGTCTATTTATATCAAAGTAATTAAAAACTCTGTAATTACCTGGGCATTAAAAATAGCATTATCAGATTACTAATTCTGGCACACATGTATATAATCCAATCAGTTTATTAGCCAAATTTGTCTTGTATCATTGGCATTTTTCTAAAGAATGTATTTATCTTCAATACAATCTTACTATTTTTACTTTTTGCATTACCTATAATATAAATGATTATTATTGCTAGTAAAAGTCATGATCTTACTTAATAATAATTTCTTACTAGAAAATAAGTAATATACTATTTGTGGAAATAAAAATACTCCTCATAGTTGTATTTTATGGTCAATCAACTTGATATTGTTGGCCTCTTCAAATGACTCTCATATAAAACCAGAAACCAAATTCACTGCCATCAAGTTGATTCGACTCATACCAACCCCTCCTTGAGTTTCCGAGGCAGTATTTCTATAGAAGTAGATTGCCCAATCTTCCTTCCAAGGAGTGGCTAGTGGGTTTGAATTGCCAGCCTTCTGGTTAGCAGTCAAATGCCTTAGGCACTATGCTACCAGAGCCCCCAACCATAATATATTTTTTTAACTTTTTATTACTGGAAAGTTCTGATACACATCACAGTGGACAACAGTATGATGACGCTCTTATACTTAACCAGCCTCAAAAGCTGCCAACTTATGGCAGGTCTTTTAGAAAAACTGGTTGTTTCTGAGCATCTACCACACACATGAAATTGAATTAATACTGAGACAAGACGCAAAATGGTCTCTAGACGAAGATACTCATTATTTTCATTTAACAACATTAGCAATGAATGGGATGTTCCCAGAGAAGGCTGAGGTGGCAGGCAAAAGAGGAGAGTTTCCTGCCAGATGGACAGTGCTGAAAGCCTCCCTGGACAGGAAGGGGGCTTGGTGGGACTTTCAAGTATGGATGTGTTTACTTGGGGGTAAAAGAGGGCAAGTGTGCCAAACTGGCTTTTTAAGCCGAGAGAAAAATCAAAGGTTCAGAAAACATATATACAGAATAAAATCTCAGCTATTTTTTATAGAAAAAATATGGGAAAATGGTTCAAATAAGTAAAAAAAATAAGTAAATACAAGTAAAAGCTAAAAGGAAAGTATGTTTTTTATTTCCACAAATAGTATATTACTTATTTTCTAGTAAGAAATTATTATTAAGTAAGATCATGACTTTTACTAGCAATAATAATCATTTATAAAAAGGAACATTATTCTAAGAAAAGAACCACACGATCAAATCAATCAATGCAGAAAAGGCATTTGATAAAATCAACACCCATTCCTGATCAAAACTTTCAGCAAAATAGGAACAGAAGGAACATTCCTCAACATAATGAGAGGCATACATACAAAACCAATAGCCAACATTATTCTCAGTGGAGAGAGACTGAAAACAATCCCCCTTGTGAACAGGAACCAGACAAGAATGCCCTCTATCACCACTTCTATTCAACATTGTATTGGCAGTCCTAGCCAGGGCAATAAGGCAAGAAAGGGAAATCAAAGGCATCCAAATTGGTAAGGAAGAAGTCAAACTATCCCTATTTGCTGATGATGTGATCCTACACATAGAAAACCCAAGAGACTCAGCAAGAAAACTACTGGAACTAACTAAGGGATTCAGCATAGCGGTGGGATACAAGATCAACATACAAAAATCAGGTTGATTCCTCTACACCAGCAAATGATACAACGACTGTGGAAAGCAGAATGGAGATCCCTTAAAAAGTTGGCAAAGAGACTGTTGAAAAGCAAACGAGGAAATCAATACCATTTATAATAGCTATCAAAAAAATAAAATACTTGGGAATAAGTCTTACCAGGACACAAAACACCTGTACAAAGAAAACTACAAAACACTACTTCAAGAAACCATAAGAGATCTACATAAATGGAAGAATATACCATGCTCATGGACAGGAAGAGTAAACATTGTGAAAATGTCAATTCTACCCAAAGCAATCTATACATTCAATGCAATCCCAATCCAGATCCCATCAACATTCTTTAAGGATATGAAAAATAAATAAATAAATAAATAAATAGTTTTATATGGAAAGATAAAAGACCTTGGAAAAGCAAAGCACTATTTAAGAAGAACAAACTAGGAGGTCTCACACTCCTAGATGTCAAAACCTATTATACAGTCACAGTAGTTAAAACAGCCTGATATTGGTATGATGACAAGACCAGTGGAATAGAGAACCCAGAAACAGATTCATCAACCTACGGTCACCTGATCTTTGACAAAAGGCTGAAATCCATTAAATGGGGAAGAGAATGTCTGTTTAATAAATGGTGCTGGCAAAACTGGATATCCATTTGCAGAAAAATGAAACAAGATCCATACCTCACACCACACACAAAAACTAACTCCAGATGGACCAAAGACTTAAATGTGAAACTTAAAACTATAAAGTTACTCAAGGAAAAAATCAGGGCAAATTTAGGGTTCCTAATATATGGCATAAATAAAATGTCAAGCATAACCCAAAATACAAAACAGCAGAAGATATACTAGATGAATGGGACCTTCTGAAAATTAAATTTTTATGTGCTTCAAAAGACCTCCAAGAGTCAAAAGAAAACCTACAGATTGGGAAAAAATATTCGGCAACAACATATCTGACAAGGGACTTATCTCTAAACTTATCTATAACTCCAATACATCAACAACAAAGAGATAAATAATCCAATTTAAAAATAGGCAGAAGACAGTAATAGGTATTTCACTAAAGAGGATATTCAGGCAGCCAATAAACACATGAAGAAATGTTCATAATCATTAGCCATTAGAGAGATGCAAATCAAAACAACAATTAGATATCACATCTTGCCCCTGCCCTAACAGCAAAGTTCAACAAGACAGAAAATAATAAATGCTGGCAAGGATGTGGAGAGATTGGGACTCTCACACACTGCTGGTGGGACTGTCAAATGATACAACCACTGTGGAAAGCAGAATGGCAATCCCTTAAAGAGTTGGCATAAGAAATACAATTTGATCTAGCAATGCCATTACTAGGTATGTATCTTAAGAAGTGAGAGCCAGGGCAAGAACAGATGTATGCACACCCATATTCATCACGGCACTATTTACAACAGCAAAAAGATGGAAAGAACCTAGGTGCCCATCAACAGAAGAATGGAGATGCAAACTATGGTACATATACACGAAAGGGAAGGAAACTTTCTTTGTTGGTTACCAGAGGTGGGAGGGTAGGGGAGGAAACACTGCAAAAATTAAAAAAATAAAACAAACAAAAAAAAGAAAGAACATTATTCTAAACACTATCATTGAAAATACATTTCCTTATTCACTATCTTATTTATAATCCTCAGTTTTAGAAATAAAAACTAGAACCTTCTAAAAAAAATTTTATGTGTTTCCAAAGACTTCTCCAAAATAAAATACTTGGAGAACCAAAAGAGAACCTCCAGACAGGGAAAAAATATTTGGTAATGACATATCTGACAAAGGACTTATCTCTAGAATTTATAGAAAACTCCAACACCTCAGTAACAAAAAGACAAACAATCTAATTAAAATATGGGCAGAAGACATGAATAGACACTTCACCAAGGAGGATATTCAAGCGGCCAACAAACATATGAAGAAATGATCACAATCATTAGCTATTAGAGAGATGCAAATCAAAACAACAATGAGGTACCATCTTGCTCCAGCACTAGTAGCAAAGTTCAACAAGAGAGAAAATAACATATGCTGGTGAGGTTGTGGAGAGATTGGGACTCTCATACATTGCTGGTGGGGCTGTAAAATGGTACAACCACTGTGGAAAGCAAGTATGGCAATTCCTTCAAAAGCTGGAATTAGAAATACCATTTGACCCAGCCATCCCATTACTAGGTATATACCTTAAAGAAGTGAGAGCCATAACAAGAACAGATATATGCACACCCATATTCATCGCAGCACTATTTACAATAGCCAAAAGATGGAAACAACCTAGATGTCCATCAGCTGAGGAATGGATAACCAAACTATGGTACATACACACAATGGAATACTATGCAACACTAAAGAATAATGTAGAATCTGCAAAACATCGTATAACGTGGATGAACTTGGAGGACATTATGCTGACTGAAATAAGTCAATCACAAAAGGACAAATATTGTATTAGTCCATTATTGTAAAAGTTAAGGAAAGGTTTATCTATTGAAGGAAATTTTCTTTGTTGGTTACCAGGGGTGGGAGGGGAGAGGAGGGAAGGCTGTTAGATAGATAGAGATAAGTATTGATTTGGGTGAAGAGAAGGGCAATGTACCAAATGTGAGTGACCAATATGGCAGCATTGAGGATGAGAAAGACATAGAGAGGTACATGGGAGGTACAGACAACAAATATGAACCATTTTGCACATACAGTTCTGCGTTGTCAGTGAAGGCAAACATGGGTATATGGATGGATAGATGGGAGGACGGGCTAAACAATTAAGTATGTCTTTGAAATGGGGAGTGTATCCAAGAACATATATAGGGTTGGCAGACAATGGTCCTAGAAGTTTATGTGAATGATCAGAATTCCCAGGTGTATAGTAGAGCTGACAAGGGGCAAGGTTGTGGTCACTGCTTGGTCACAGACAGCTACCCAGAGGGACCGAGCAGTTGAACCTGTGGGCTTGGGACCATAGTTGTAGGGGACATCAAGCTCAATTGGCATAACATACTATACAAAACATTGTTCCACCTCCTACTTTGGTGAGTAGTGACTGGGATCTTAAAAGCTAGCAAGCTGACATCTAGATGCAACGATGGGTCTCTCTCCTCGTCAAGAAGAAAGAAGAAAACGAAAATTAATGGAAACAATCAGTCCTCGCGACTGGTACACCATCCGATCTGCAACCTATATAACTATGAGACCAGAAGAACTAGATGGTGCCCGGCTATCACTGTCATCCACTTGGAAGGGGATCTATGTAGGAGATCCTGGGTAGAGAGGGACAACAATGTGGAACAAAACTCAAATTCATTTGGAGAAAAAAAAAAAGGTGGGGACCAGGTTTGCTGGTCCGATAGAGCCTGGTGGAACCACTGAGACTATGGCCCCTAGCTGCCCTTCAGGTCTGGAATTGAACCCACACCTGTGGTTTCCAGCCAAACAAAATACAGGCATATGAGTTAAACATTTACCTCAGGTGGATACACTCCTTAGAGAGAACAATCATGGGAGAAAGAAGGGCTGCTTATGCACAGGGAGACAGCTCAGGGGGCAGGAGTGTATGGAGGGATGGACACTGGGAAGAGGTGACTATGGGGGAGGAAGTGGGAGAGGAGCTGTTGCATTGTGGTAAACTGTGGTCAATGACATGAGACAAAGTATATGTGAACTGCTGTATGGAAAGTGAATTTGCTCTGTAAATCTTCACCCAAATCACAATAAAAAAGAAAAAAGAAAGAAAGAAAAACTAGAGCAGTTTAAGAATTCCATTCCCTGCTACTGGACACTTTTTCAATTAAAACAAGTATGATTTATTTATTTAAAAGTTTCTCTTTTTAAAAGTAATACATGTTTACTTTAGATAAAAGAAAATGATTTACAAGAAAAAAATAATCCCATCATGGAAAAAGAATCACTTTTAACATTTTTGCGTTTACCTTTCTAGTTATATACATACACATTTGCGTATCAATTTTTTTTCAAAAAATGAGATTATAACAAACCTACTGATTAGTAACCCATTTTTCTAACTCATATATCATAATATCATTCTATATCACTGAATATATTCTAAATCATTTAATGTATCTGTATAGCATTGTATCACATGGACTTACTTAACTATGTAACTTAACAATCTCCTCTACTATTGAAAACAGGTTGTTTTGGACTATTTCAGCATTCTAAGTGACAGTGGTAAAGAGCAGAGTATGCACATGTTCAAGCATGTTCCCAACAACAACCCTACCAACAACAGGAAGGCTGGGCCAAGTGCACCCATATCATTAATTTTATTATTTTCTTTTAAAATCTACATTAAACTATCTTTCAAAACTGAACTCATGGTGTCAATACCACTATGGTGTAATATGTTAAAGTTCAAAACATAATATTTTTAGAACTCCACGTCACTGATAATGCTACATTTCACATGATTGTATACCTCTGTGCCACCCCTGACACTATAAAAAACGACTTCACAAAGCACTTACTGTTGGGATGAAACATCTCACAGGTAAATCTCATCTTTGGAGGACTTAAGGGATAATCAAGTGGAAAACTCAGGATGGCAGGAAAAACACCAAATTCAAAACAGGTATCTTCTGGGCCCCTGGAAAATATTAAATAAGTATACATAAGAACTCCAAGGTAGGTTTCTCAATGCCTACAATTAAAAAATGAATTAGGAAATTTTTACTGACTTATAAACTTACGTGCAACAGTTATCTAAATAATAATGAGCTGGTATTTATTTTTCCAGATGGAAGTTAATGTCTTATCCTCCTATTCCAATCTGGTTTGAATTTTAAGTACAAGCACAAAAAAGATAGATTATGGCATAGTTCTTACATTAATAAAGGTAAAAGGTGAGGTGGCAGAACCCCTCCTAATAGGATCAAAGAACTAATGCCAAGGTTGTAATATTCTAGAGTCTTTTTTTCTGTACTTGGGATACAATTACATCTTAGAATAAAGATATGAATTATGGCATATATAATAGCAAGATTCTATTGTACTTAGATAAATGAGGGGTTAAGTGTTGCTATTTCAAAGGCTATTTTTAATTTTTAAATGTGCCTAAGAAGTCATTTTTGCAGCCCTCTAAAAACAGATAAAAAGTATGCACATACTCACACCTGGAAGCATGTGCACCTGTATGGGGATGCAAGCCTGAGCCTGCATACCCATGCAACTGTGTCACATCATGTGTGTATGAATACAAACATCTGGGCACCTCACACACAACCACTATGCACACACAGGCCCAGTTCCTGGATTGCTTCTCTCTCATTGGAAAGTGGTGGGAATGGACTAAGTCATTCAAAGGTCCTGTTCAAATATAAGCTCCAAGTGTCTAAATGGCCACCATCCTGACCAGCATAGGAGAGTGGTAGAGGAAGTGAGGTGACCACTAACTTCTATTTTAACACGAGGGAAGAACTCCTCCCCACCTCTAACAAATTTCACTAATAAAGCACACATTTGAGTTTTTAAAGCTCTCAGGCAATCCTTCCCATGTGAATTCTTTTAAGAAAACAAGTACGGAATGATAGCTACAGATTGAAACAGCAGAAATTGCTTTGGGTAGGACCCATCAATTCAATAAACTGATAAAGTTCATCCCATTCTATTTACATGAATTAAGGAACAAGTCCCTTTACAATCACCTCTGCCTCTCTAATAAATGGCCTCATAACATATGAATTTCTACAATGTAATGAGCCATCATAGAAGGCCTAGACCTAGATCATGACAGAAGCAGTTCAGTGTCAAATATATGCAGGCTGTCAGATGAATCAAAGACATGTCATAACAAAGAACACAATGCACTGCCGTCAAGTTGGAGCTGACTCACAGCGAACCCTCCTTGGGTTTCTGAGGTGGTATCTCTATGGAAGTAGATGGTCCAACCTTCCTTCCAAGTGGCTGGTGGGTTTGAACCACCAGCCTTCTGGTTAGCAGTCACATGCCTTAGGTACTACGCCACCAGAGCTCCCAAGATAAATCACAGGTAAAAAAGTATTTTCATTCTGAAGCAGTCTTCATTTTGAAAACATTATTATTATTATTTTTAAGTGTAAATGTGATTAAAATCCTGATAATGAAATTCTGATCAAGGGAAATAAAACTAGAAATTTACAAATAAAGGAACAATATTTATCTCAATAAAGGAAAAAGTCAAAAACTCAAAATACTGAACAAACAAGCTTTTATTTCCATTTGGTGAATCAACAGAACTACAACAATGGATGCCATAGCTGCTTCATGGAGCTGTGTGGGCAGATCTGCAAGCAGAATGGTCACAATAAGAACAAGGTCACAAGTGCTTCATAGAGCTAGGTTTTGTTTTATTCTCCCACTTATGAGATGAATCTTTTTTTTTTCTTCCCAATCTTAAAATTATTTATTTATTTTAAACAAAAACAAAACAATCCACGTCTTACCATGGTCAGATTTTGGTCTATACTTATATACAGAGTGTTTTTTTTTTTTTTTTTTTAATTGTGATTTGGGTGAAGATTTACAGCTAAAAGATTTCAAAGATTTTTCCATATACTA